AAAAGTGTAAGCGAGCGGTGAATTTATCGTCTTTTGACAGGGCTCGAGCGAAGCCGGGCAACCTAGCTAGTCAAAAATACACGCAATGAAGAAAACACATGAAAAGACCAGATGACTAAGACAAATGATAAACGACGTAAATGCAATACGAATATCAAATTGGTACGATTGGACTTGCCCTTATCAGTGACCTCCGAATAGATCGTAGACGCTCGCAGATTTGAAGTGTTTGGTGCAAAACGCGATGGTTTCGCTAACACTGACTCAGAAGCTCCAAAGTGGATCGATACGCCTCCTGACGATGTTTTATCTGAAAAATGCATCTGACTTTCACCAAGAAAATATCGAGCGCAAGAAATATTGACAAACAATAAATCACAAAACGGCGGTTGACCGCCGGAAAATCACATGCACGCACCAGTTATGTGTAAGTTTGCAAAAACCGCGTCGTTGCCTATTCCCGGCTCAAAACGAATTTCGTAATCTTTGTAGGCTTTCCGAAGAAGTTGCAAGGCTCCACACATGTAATGCGCACGTTTCGCAGGATAGGTTAAGTTGATGTAATCTCTCTTTCCAAATAAACTCTGAAAACATTTTTGTGAGAAGCAAATAAAGAGATCAAGCAAAAACAAGGGAAAGTAGAAAAATTGACTCACATCGGGTAAAGTAACAAACACATGCACCGTGTAATACGATGAGCTGAGCAGATCTATGGCCGAGCTTGAAAGTACTGATACCTATGAAAATAACAATATTAGAAAAATGAATGCAAATATAACTGCTTACCTCTTCGGGCGCAGTCCATTTATACTCCGTAACACTGGAAGTAGTCTTAGCTACAGCGTCAGCAAGATTGACGAGGGGATGCGTTATTCCAAACTTCTTCCACGAGTCAAGATCTTTATACTAAAAATCGCAAAGATCACCCTTTTCATAAGATCTCAATTTTTGCTAATGTACAAAGTGGAAATATGGCGGCAGGCGACTTAAATGCCAATTCAAAACGACCAGGCAGTGGCCATACT